GGGAGGACATAGACTAGCGTCCTCCCATGACCCAAAGCTCAGTATATCGTAAGCTACAGCTCGCGGTATACTGAGACCACCGCAGCCGGGATGGATCCCGACATTACTGTTGATCCACCCAGCTGCGTGAGTGACAGCTGGCTCTGCCTATCTAGGGGCAGAGCCAGCTGTACCCTCACCCGTCCGTTCCGCAAGTGGAAATCAATCCCTGCAGGGAACCGTGAGTGACAGTCACGGCTCTCTGCAGGGAGATGATCGAGAAGTGAGCGAGCGACGGTATGTGTTTGCTCACTTCCCGATCTATTGAGCCGATCTATTCACACTTTGGCTCGAACTATGAGGTTGAAAATCACTCACCTCATAGTTCTTTTTAAATATTCCCTCAGCCCCCAAAATTGCCTTTATAAGCGACCACCGAACCTGAGACAGATCGGTACGTTGACCCCAGAACAGGAGCTTACACACAATGGCGGAGTATGATGCAATAAACCCCGCTGCAACTTTGCCAACATATATGTGACAAGAATACAGCGAGTCCCAATAACAAAACGTACCCCATTAAGGGATCATACTTGTACACCTGCTAACGTGGTGTACATGATACAGTGTTCAGCTTGTGCCAAAGGTTTGTTACATTGAGGAAACCGGCTGGATCTCAGGATGAACCGGCAAAGGAGCTCGATCAATAACCACAAGGAAAGCTAATATTGCACCCCAGTAGGACATCACTGCTCCCAGGAAGATCCCTCCATCCCAAACCTCAATATTAAAGGACTCCAAGGGAATTTTAAAGTTTCTCATGAAAGGAAAACATCTGAGGAGAAAATGGTTATACAGTTCAACACCATAAAGGAAGAACTTCTTATGAATATACAGGACATCATAATGTCATATGTATGTCTTGTATCTCTGTGTTAAGGTGTTTATTGGTTATATGTTTATTTGTGCTGCCTTTTGGGTTGGTTTTCAGGATCCAGTCTTTACTCCTAGGCCCAACATTTATGGTAGCCCCTCCCCTTCTCTAAAAACCTTCTTGTGCTTTAAGTGGTAAACTTGGTCATGTTGATTTTTAGTATTGCTTCTGACCTGAAGAATAGCTTTTCTTTTGATTGTGTTAGTACAATAAGAAAGGCATCATTGCACATCTATATCGCCACCTGTCTTTGGCTCAGAACATGGGTTAGAGCCTTCCATTGGTTAACAGGTCTAGGTTCAGCAATGTTATGTGCCCAAAACATGAGGCCAGCTGACTACCTGACTATACTGAATGACCAGGTTTTTCTATCAATGGATTTGTTTCTTCCCTGATGGCACATTGGACATATTCCAAGCTAACAATGCCAGGATTCATCGGGCTCAGATTGTGAAAGAATGGTTCAGGGAGCATCAGACCTCATTATCACACATGGATTGGCCACCACAGAGTCTAGTCCTTAACCCTATTGAGAATCTTTAGGATGTGCTGGAGAAGACTTTACACTGAGGTCTGACTCTCCAGTCATCACAAAGTGAAAAATGAATACAACTCTGGAAGGAAATAAATGTTGTGACATTCCATAAGCTTATTGAGATGATGCCATGGCGAATGCGTGCTGTAGTCTAAGTCAAAATATAAATAGGTATATATGTGTGTATTCTCCTTCTGGCCCATGACTGAAAGGCCACACCTCTATGGACAGGGACTGGGAGGAACAGTCTGCAGCAGCAGCCAGAGCATTGCATCCACTGATCACTGATGCTTTGCAGGTTCCAAAGGTCCCCGCTCTTTCTCATGCTGGTATCGGGCATATGGTCAGAGACTTTTCAGAGGGAGCGACACCAAAATGACTGTCAGTCATGACAGACTCTGATGGTGTCACCCAGTGTGGTCCGCACACCGCACTGGGTGACACCATCAGAGGCTGTCATAATCTGACAAACGCAGGGGTGCCAATATTTTTGGACATGACTGTACTTACCTTAACCCACAGCTGGATGCATCCCAGAAGCCAGGTCGCCAATGCGCCTTAAAAATTACAGTTGGTGCCCAACTTTTGCATTTTTTTCTAGTTAAAGGAGAACTATGGGGTTAAGGCTTTTCCCCATAGTTCTCCTTAGGGTAACGGGAGGACACAAACTAGCGTCCTCCGTCACCCTAGGCTCAGTATACCGCGAGCTGTAGCTCGCAGTATACTGAGACGCCGCAGCTGAAGCGGATCCCGACAATTGTGCCAGGATCCGCCCAGCTGCGTGACTGACAGCTGGCTCTGCCTATCTAGAGGCAGAGCCAGCTGTACCCTCCCCCGTCCGTTCCGCCGGTCAGCGCTGGCGGAGCGGGGAGGGGGGAATCCAGCCCCTCCCCTGTCACGGCAGAGAGCCGTGACAGGATCGAGAGGTGAGCGAACGCCGGTATGTGTTCGCTCACTTCCCGATCTACTGAGCCGACCTGTGACAGTCTCATTGTCCCAGGTCGGCTAGAACTATGAGGTAAGTGAAAAGCACTCACCTCATAGTTCTCCTTTAAGCTTTAGGGCTCATTTACAATATAGCTTCCAGTTAATTGCACAGTTCCGTGTGATTAACTCATGCTACTACACAACACACCCATCATGCAGTACAGTACGGGAGATGCATTGCCATACTTTTTTCCTTGTTAACAAGTATAGCCGAATGGTGTGAAAATTGCAATTCTTCTCTGGAGCGTTGTTTTGGAAAACACTTTCTCTCTATTGGGATTAAAGTTTAGGCTCGCACGTAATAGACCTGGAAACGCGTGTGCCAGCAATGCCGAGGAGAATTGATTACACCGCTGGAATCCTTTGTTCCGTAAGATTATAGTTCCTTTGTGACTTGTCCTTTAAAGTCTAACTTCCTAGTGAGGAATTAAGGCAACCTTTGGTATTTGCGTATGTTCGGCTTCTGCCATTGTTAAAGCGACCTGAGTTCATACGGGTAATCGCTGAAAAAATTATTTTTCTGAACGGCTAAGCTTTTCAAAGATCTAGAGATATATTATCAGGAGCCCCATCTATGTTTTATCACCGGAGCTGTTACTTTATTCGTTTTGATGTTTTGTTGTAAATACCTATTACCCTGGGCAGAGCCGTAAGTGCAGATTACAGCAAAAATGTGATGGGGCCCCTCTGATGACCTCTTTCTGAGCTGTGGGTAACAACGCCAAGACCCCGAAGACTCCTCTTGTGCAACCGAAGTTGGCTCTACACTGTAGACTTTACAGAGGATCAGAGTTGTCATCAAATGCAACCACTCCAACCCTTAATGAACCATTACTGTATTATCTTCACATGTCCTATGTTTAAACTGCCGCAGCAACCTATTGGTCCCCCCTCCACCCCCAGGCCCCATAGCAGCCACTGACCATGGGGAAGTAGAACAAACCTCCCATTGTCTGCTCATGGGCACAGGATGTTCTTAATGGATTCTGAGGTGTTCCCAAGTCAGGTAAGAGGCACAAGTTCTCAGCATGTTCTGGTACCAGGCCTTCTCCACGTTAGATGGATCTAGGCCAAGGGTAGCCAAACTCCAGCCCTCCAACTGTTGTGAAACTACAAATTCCATCATTTGGAAGTCATAAGAGTGGCCATCAGAGTCTTGCGGTGCCTCATGGGATTTGCAGTATCACCACAGCTAGAGGGCCAGAGTTTAGCTACCTCTGGACTAGTGGGAACTTCCTATGGGATGCTCAAACCATGTCACATGACCTTAATTCCAGTAAGCCATATTTCCATCCCAAGAAGACCCCAGGTGTATCCTAAAATTAAATTGCCTAAAAAAATTGCTGTGTGTGGCCAGCGTTCCCCCATCCATCACATACGCAC